GTGTACTCATAGTCGTGCATGCCGTAGTCGTTAGACCATTGACCTCGCATCCCTACAAAGCCGGGACGGAGCACGCCGGGTTCTCACCGGACCAGGGGGGAGGGAGAGGGAGAAAAGAGAGAGGAAGGAAGAAGGTGAGAGAGACAGAGACAGATCGACAGACAGAGAGGGAGAGAACAAAGAGAAAGAGAGAAAGAGATGAGAGAGAGGGAGAAGGAATGAGAAGAGGACAGGGAGAAACAGGGCCAACCAAGGGTGGATCAGAAAAGTCAAGACGGCCGCCCGAAAACACAAGAAACAAAGAGGCTGACGGGCCGGTGCCAAAGTCTGAAGGTAGGCTCCGCTCTCCCTCTCCCTTCGGGAAGGAGAGGAACAAAGACACAGCTGCATGCCGCATGGCATCGATCGGGTTGAGAGAGAATCTCGCGTGTTGTCCGATACGGCGAGGAAAAGAAAGAAAAAAAAAATACATATTTGTTGTCATCCCATGTTCTGCGTGACCACGGCTTTTGGAGCACGCGGCACAAAACATGTGAGAGCTGATTTGAAGTGAAGACAAAAAACATACAAAAAAAATGGACGCCGGTCCTTGCACATGAAGGAAGGACACACCGGAGGCCTTTCGTAGCCTTCTTTCTGCGGTGCCTGCCATGGTTTTTATCGCGAAAAGGATTTACACCGTAACCATGGTAGTTCGTACATTGCAAAAACAAAATGTCACACCAGGGGGAGGACAGGCAAGCTTACAAAGCACATCAAGTAAACAACGCCCGTGCACGATGCCCAACCAGGAAGACAAGCGGGTGCAAAACAGCACGCGAGAGGAAGACATGACGTAGCTGTAGTTGCAAGTAGACACGAAAAGAAGAGGGGAGGGAGGGCAGACATCCATCCAAAGCACGACGGTCAACACACCAACAAATACATACCCGCAGTAGACGTGAGTGCAGAGGTTGCCGATCCCTTCCCACTCCTCAAACGGGGGGATACGCAGAGTGTCCTCTGGCCGCATGGGGTTGTACGCAACCATGAGGGTCGTGTACAGTTCTCGGTCTTCATACGTCGCAATAATGATGATAAGTAAGTGCGAAATATGCAACCTGCCGCAAAACCGCGATTGCAAGGGGGGCGGGGGGCGGGGGCGTACTCTTTATGTTTTGCATGCCCTAGCGGTTAGACCATTGACCACGCGCCCTCGAGAGGACGGAGCATTGTTCCCACAGGACCGATCACCGATGGCCAATCGTTCCTTCCAACCTTGCCAAAGGGCGAGGGAGGGGGGGTCAGGAGGTTTGGGCAAGCACAGAGGCAGCGCAAAGGAGTTACCCACCTAAAAGCAATCCTCGAATAAAGAAAATAGAGAAGCCTTTGGTCCAGGCATCAACTCACCGCCATAAACATTCAATCATTGTGTATCGTCACTTGTTGCCGCGACAAAAATATATGCGGAGGGCACATGATGAACCACGTCGGTTTTTCGTTTCTGTCTTTCTTTCACTACATATTGCAAGGCTTCTTGATTGCCGCGAGACGCAATGCCTTCCGCACACACTTCCTTCCCTCCCTAAAACTAAAACCAAAGAAGCAACAATAAAAAAAAAAAGATATATAGAAACATACACTACATACATCCTTCCGATCGTCTTCATTGCGTACTTTTACAGCAGTGTTGGGCAGAGGATACACGAACAACAAACAAAAACAAACGTGATTGAGATTGAGATAGCTCCCACACACAACGGGGAAGGAAGCGCATCAGGCCGGGATGTACCCGGCTAGGCCAAGACCGTCAACAACAACACTTGGTGAGACGTCTCACCCCATTGGAAAGCACATCAAGTCTGGGGGGGAAAAAGCCGACCCGTGGAAGAACGAAAAAAACAAAGCGACGCATGGAAGCAGAAAAAAAAAAAAAAGGTCAGTGAGATAGATCCCTCACCCCATGGGGAAGCGCATAAGGCCAGGATACTTCACTAAGACCTCCACACAGCGCCTCGCTCTCTCCAGGCAAGCCTGCTTGTGGTTTTGTCCAGCCTCGAGGACCACCGACGTGCTGTTTAAACAAACATAAGCGGCAACGCGTGCCCATTCTTAGGCGTGGGGGGTACGTGTGACCATTACGTACGTATTTCGGGGGTGCACCGAAGTGCTGTACAATACACGAGTCCAAGTCCGAGTGACAACCAGGGGTGCGAACTGTAGGCGCGGGGTGAAAGACCCCCCCACGAAGATGGAAAAGCAAATCACGACCCAGAAATGGATAGCATCACTACACAACGTGAGGCGGCGTTTTACAGGGTGGGTGTGGTGGATGGACATCGACGCCCTTCTACTCCATGCAGGCCACCTCGGGAACACAGGCCATGTCCTCCTCCTGTCCACGACGAACGATAGCATGACCAGAGAGAAAACGAAACAAGACACGCTTACAGGCGCGGTCCTAGTTTAGCGGTTCCCTGTTTAGCGGGATGCCCTGAATAGCGGTCCCGAAACCTCGTGGCACGGCTGCACCTCGGTACTCAAACTGCAATATAACTGCCAATCCAGTTTAGCGGCGACTCCCTCAATAGCGGTTACAACATTTGTGACACCAACACCTCCTGGATCGTAGAAAAAATACACTTCATAAATATATATACCGCCTGTATACCTGTAAGATGCGAGTCATCGCACGGATCGAGGTCGTTGCAAGGCCGTACGTAAAACCAACCAACAATAGGTCATCGCTCGCAACGGAGTCCCGCAAGACGTTGCGTACTACTAGCAACAACAACACAAATGCGTTGTATTATCATTCTGAGTTCGAGTTCCGTGCATACGTTAGACTATGCTATCGCAAGTCACCGCAACGTACCGTGGCCGACGCGATGATTCGCTCACTCGCATCCTTGCGGTGTACGCTAACTGATGCACAACACACTCGGACTCACCAATTTAACATAAGACCCCCGATGCCCCCACGGACCTCAGGCCTGATCCATCCATCAGATCCAGCCGCGACGCGTGTACAACCGTAAGCACCAAACATTGCCCAGGAAGCACGATATATGCATCATCCATTTCCCGGTGTCGGGGTTGCATATTTTGCGGGCGTGCAAGTGGGCAACAGGTCGAACGCAGCATTAACCGGAGGGGGGGGGGGGGGGGGC